TGACCGAAAACTTCATATTATTCTCGTGTTTAGCCATCACTTGACGGCAAACGCGGGCCGCGTCTGACAGGAAAGTCTCTTCCGATGTTTTGCCGAAACTGACGGCTCGATCGCGAGTAGCGTCACAAAGATATAGACCGCCGTTGCAGTGGACGAGAGGCACAAAGTGGCCTTCGCTGCCGCCCTCAGGAGGTGTCTGGCCTTCGCTGGCGAATAAGCCATGGATTTCACATATCTCTGCGTTCTTCGCAAACAGTCGTCCGCTCTCTTCGGCGGACAAACCGCGAGTCGAGTCGATAAACTTCTTAAGACACGAGTCGTCTGTAAATCGGATCCGATGACAGTTGTTGGCGATGGCGTGCAGGAGAGCGATAGTACCGCAAGCGTTGCCAACGAGTTGTCTCATAAAGTAGAGGCCACTGTCGGCCACAACACTATTGTCGCCCAAATCGGCCGCACGTTTGGTGACGTCCTCGTAGTCGGGGTACAGAAGTACGAGCGACAGAACCGGTCCCTCAATGAATGGCAACAACTCTTCGTCCACTCCCAACACATCCACGACTCGACAGCTGTCGTCCGCCACTCCTAAGGCCCTCAAGAACTTGTTGATGACATCGGGGTTGGACTCAATGGGCACCCAAACGGGTCTTTCGGCACTCATATTCTTCGACGGTTTCAAAGTTGTGGTCAAATGAAGACTCTTTGAAGTGATGTTTGGTTTGAATCACTGTTTGTGTGAATGACTGGCAATTCATTGGACGCCAGACTTCACTCTTGTTTTGCATTGCATTTCAATGTAAACGTATTTTAGTGTAGGTTTTGGTACTTTTTATGCCAACAATTTTCTACGCTATAAAGCGTTTGACGTTTGGTTTAAAAGGTATAAAATGTTTGTTCAATAGATGTTATGCTTTGAAAGTTATTTTGGTTTTGATGTCACAAAACGTATTACAAAAACATATGAAATGCAAAAACAATTGAGAAAAAAATAGTTTACGAGAAATATGTGTTGAAAAGCAATAGTTTTGGTCACAAAAGCGGGGATCAAATCAAAGACATGAGAAGATAGGCGTCGCGTGTGAGACGACACGACGACATCGGATCCAAACGATAGCATCCAATCGGTGGTCAAAACGATGAGATAATGGACGCCAAGAATCACTACCACAACAACAACAACACGTCCGCCAACTCTGCCAACAGTTATCACGGAAACAGTGGCCACATGTGTGCGGCCGCCGCCCCATCGCCGCCACCGATGACGGCCACCAAATGCCAGTCATTCGGGTCGACGACCACACCGTCGATGGCGGCGGCCGTCGGACGCGTGCAATACATCTATGAGTTGCCCTACAATTGTCGCAAACAGTTGTGCGATCTCTTGGACGCGGACCAGTCGTGGCGCCAATTGGGCGGTCAGTACATGAATCTGAACGACACGTCGCTGACGCTGATATCGCACGCACTGATCCGCAACTCTTCGCCCACCAATGAGTTGCTCACCAAATGGGAGACGAGTGCCGCCAAAGTGAGCCAATTGTTTGTATTTTTGGCACAAATGGGACACAAGAGAGCGATGTTTATACTGCGGCCGTATGTCGAGCAACGGCTTCGCCAGTTGTGCCCAGACGTGGACTGCGATGAAGATAATTACGATCTGTCGGCCATTCAAGCGGTGGCCGCGGCTATGAATCCCTCAAATCAGATGCAAAACAATCTCTTTCTCGATAATAATGGCAAACATTTTGAACAAAACAGTACTAAATATGGTATAAATTGTTTGGAAAATTAATAACATTTTTGTATTGAATTATTTCATTTGTTTCGATCACGTCTTCAGATTCAACACAATTGATGACTGAAAAGAAGATACTTAACAAAAATCTCAACGATTTGGACACTAATCTCAATCACAATAATCTCAATAATAGTAATCCAATGAATGAATTGAATGACGAAAAGCAAACGCATTGCGATAAAAGTGATAATAAGGGCGACAAGTGTTCGGCCGATACTAATTGTGACGAAATGGAAGTGCCGTACAAAGAGCTGCTCATCGCCACCGATGACTTCGCTAAAGACAGGGTTTTAGGGAACGGAGGCTTTGGCACCGTATATAAGGGCGAGTGGAAGGGCACTAATGTGGCCATTAAGCGACTCAAAGGCTTTAACGACAAGTCCCAGGCGTTGACTGAACTCCGAGTGCTCAACAGATACCGAATCGACAATATTTTGCCCATTTATGGCGTAAGTCTCGATGGCGTCGAGCCGTGTCTTGTGTACCAATATATGCCCAACGGATCGCTAGAGGATCGGCTTCTATGCAAAGCCGGCACAAAACCCCTCGAGTGGTCCCAACGAATCAATATCGGCGAAGGCATCGCCCGAGCGCTCAATTACTTGCACACACTTAAGGGCAATGCCTTCGTTCACGGAGACGTCAAGAGCGCGAACGTACTCTTGGATCCCCTCTTCGAGCCAAAGTTGGGCGACTTTGGTCTCGCCAGACAAGTCAACTCCGGCAGTGGTCTCTATACGCACTGTACGGTCAGCGCAGTCCACGGCACGAGTGTTTACCTCCCGTTTGAGTATCTGAGGCAACGAATCCTGAGTCCAGCCGTTGATGTCTACAGTTATGGCATTGTTTTGCTTGAGATGGCGACCGGAAAACGCGCTTTCGATGGCAAGAGACTACTCATTGACTTCATTGAAGATGAGATCAAAGCGACCGAAAAAGACGGCAATAAAGACCACACAAAACTATTGGACAAACGTATAGCTGATGGCAATGAATCAGTCAATTGGTTCGAGTGTTTGTTAGATTTGGGTCGAAAGTGCGCCCATAGGTCCAAGAATAGACGGCCCCCAATGATCCAGGTATTGATCCGTTCAGTGTTTGTCTCAAACAATATTAATTGATTTGTTTTATGGTTTGCGTGAATAGGTTTTGGAATACTATAATCAATACAAGACAAGCGAACGGATCCGTCGATTGAGCGCCGAAGCGAGCAATCATAAGAAGAATACCATAAGTATCTCAAAGTCAAAC